TACACACTACATGAGGAAGCCACGTCTGAAAACAGTCTGTACCTAAACAGTTTGTCCTCAGTGTAAATTCATCCTTCCTTGGCTCACACAGTCATGAGCAGGCGTGGGAAAGACATCAGCCAGTGTTGTATTATATTTGATGTTTAAAAAAATAATACCAAATCTTAATCTAGATTTGGGACAAACTGGAATTTTTTACCCAAATGTTTCATGTATGCTTGTTATCGTACACACATCCAAGATTATGATAAATAATATGTGTGTGTGTTTGTGTGCTAAATATGAGTCTCTGCTTTTATTTTTGATTCTCATCATTTAAGACCATAAGGAGCTGTTGCTTTCATCCAGAAAGGGAAGTGGAACAGAGGATGACAGAGCGGCATTTCCTTTGGTCTGGGGAGGCTGTCACTTGCTGTCACCACTGACTATTTACTGTCATTGTTGCTACGGACTACAACTGAGCAATCATTGGGAAAACACAGGGCTTGTCCTGTATTGGTTTATCAACACTAGACAAGAAATCAGCCAAAAACTGAAAAAACACACACCTTATATAAGGTATGTATATATATACTGTATATATATATATATAGTGTCAATATTCTGATTGTGTTGGAAAAAACATTTTATGATAGCGATAGATAGATTTTTATAATTGAAGGACTACCTTCACTAGAACACTAAAACTGGAAACACTGTATATTTTAATTGTTGATTTTTCTTCCATCAACTGTATTTATTTTTAATAGAACCAAAATATATCTACACCACACGGACATTTATCTCATCAATATTAATTTTGGCAGTGAAAACATCAGTTTTCTAAGATTTGGATAAACAAAAACCTGAGACCTCTTTGGGTGATTTTTTTGAAGTAATATCCAAATGTAATGTGTATTTACATATACTGCATTTGTATGTGTATAAATTGAATAATTGCTTCTGAGTTATTACATTCCTCGGCGTGTATTATTTAAGCCAACTATGTGATAAAGACATCTTCTCCTTTGAAAATAATAGGACATTATTATAATTACAGAAATGACACAGGTTTGTGCAGTTTGTCTTGTTCTCTGCACTGACCTCCTTTTATTGTAGCAGCCTGACAAAAGACTTCCATCTAACCTGAAGCATGACAACTTAATCTCAGGCCTAAGGCCTTGACATACATAAGACCACTTATGAACTTCATAAAGTATGGGTCACAAAGTATTGGGCTGGGGGCCACACACAGACAAACACAATTGCATTGGTTCTGACATATGTATGGACTTCCATTAATTTGGTTTATCAACACTAGACAAGCTTAAATATAGCCTAAGGCAAAGTTATGAATACAATCATGTTACTTTTCACTTTCTAAACCTTAACTATATGCCAGAATGTGCACTTAGAATTTTGCACATGAAGCACATCTGCCATGGGTTACACAAAACATTAACAGGTATATCAGTTTATGTTAAAGAATACTGATGACATTCTTAGGTGTCTTATTTTATCACCAGGTGTATCAATTTGTACTTTTTCCAGTAACATTCTGTAGACACATCAGTATGTGGAGAGAAAAACAGATTTGTACTCGTGAGCTCTCAGAATTCTGAGTCTGTAATTAGGATGTAGCCTTTTCCATTATTTGTTAAATAAAAATATGTTTTTTAAAGCCTATGCAGTGATGGTTTGATCTTTATTTCTTTTGAAATCACACATGTGCTGCATTGTCCCATGTAGATCATGTCAGAGAAGGAGAGTGAATAGAACACAATTAGAAGTGTCATCACATGTGTCAGTCAGGGTAATTTACCGTGACCCGTGAGAATACAACTGTTTATACAAAGTTTTTTTTTTTTTAATATTATTTCGACAGGAAAAGGAAAAGTCAAGTTTACACAGAAAATTTGGCGATCTAAATTGTCAGTAAGGAACTAAATAATATAAAATAACTATAAGAAAGACGTCAACAAGCTGAGTAAGGTGACATTGTAGAACATAAATAAAAGATCTACAAATAGATCGTCTTGTTTGCTTTTTACACTTATACACTTTTACACTTACACTTATTTTTCGAAAAAGTTGTACATCACAACATTAGTAAAAAAAAATCAATCAAAACAAAAACAAACATTCTCTCTCTATATTTTTTACGAGCAAACATTACACAAGAAACCTCTGGAAACCTCTGGACGGAAAGAGAATCATCGAGAACAGGAAGTAGCGCTCAACCAATCAGCTTGTGCAAAGCGTCCTAAGCTGACGTCAGCCCGGTACCGATGAACAACCGGTAGCGTTGAAGAGATCTTTGCGGGATACAGATGTTTGTAGCGTTTTGCCGATACTTATATCAGTTAAACGTCAAAACATCAACATGCCTTTCGATGTAAGGAGGTGAGTACGGCACTTCCGGTCAGTGTTTTTGTGACGTGAGGCGACTGTGGATGAATTAACAGAGGGTAGAGAGCAGTCTTTTGACTGAGCGGCTCAGAGGTGGAGTCGTGTTACCTCACGTTGTGCTTGAATGAACCTCACTGTGAGAGTTTTTGGTAGAACATCTGGACTGGAGTGATGCTCGGTGGTTCACACTCCCCTTTTGTCTGCACAAGTTCACATATTTCCCTTTACCTTCCTTATATAAGCGATATATTAGCCGTCCAAGAATGTTAGCAGGTCCTGACATGTTGAAACCAGTCGAAAACTATCACCAGACTAGGAACATTGCATTTTAAGTAAAAACTCTCAAAACTTATACTGTGTTTAAGCAAAGTTTATATGCAGTGCCTTCTGGCTTTTAAGAGAATATGTGGTTTTGTATAGCCTTGACTATCTACTAGCAACATACATTCTCATTTGAAAGTATGGATATGACCGTATTGGTGCTATCATTTTACCTACATTAAGGAATGTAGGTAAACCTTAGGGGGCGTTATTGTTATCAATATCAGTTCCATGCTAGAAGCTATTTTTCTGGAAGTGGCGTAAGATGATGCTCTATATGTCTTCCAAACCTCTATTAAAATAAAGGTTTATGACATGCTAAATAACATGGCATCTACAGTAAGTCTAATACTGCTGGATAACGTAAACATGACAGTAGACCTTCAGATATTTCTTCTTGGGTAAATAAATAAAAACAGAAAAAAGAAAACATTCAGAAACACTAGTAAGAACTTTTATGATGTCTCGAAAATTATGGCAATGGTTTTGCTTTTGTGTCTAGTTTCGTAGTTTTCTACTGTGAGCACTGGGTGTGTCTGTGGTCGAAGAATAGATACCTGATTGACACCCTATGTACTAAGTCAAAATTAATTGGAGTTGGAGAAATGGAATGTACTAAGTCAAAATTAATTGGAGTTTTTTTTCTCTCCATTGGTTTTTTGATGTAACATTTGATACAGAGATTAATGGAAAACATAGCCTACTGATGTTAGTTAACGTATAGCTTTAATAAACACTTTACTCATATGTTGTGACAAATATTGTACTCAACCCTCAGAAATGACGTAACATTTTGGCCAAGAAGACCTGATACTAGAGACAAAAGACCATTCATGTATTTAGCTAATAATATGACTTGTTTTTTTAGAGGAAGTTAGTCTCCAAAATGACATCAGTGAAAGGAGGGGACATCCTAGAGCCAGTCAATCCCTTGGTGACACCTATAGATGAACAAACTGTCTCGCTCTTATTCATACCTATTTTTTGTAAGTGTCCAATTTACCTAATCCTTAGTGAATACGTCTTATGAGAGGGTGGAAGGAAACTCATGACATAATATGCTGACAGATAATTAACCTCATTTAGCCAGGGACTTTAACTTTAACCAGTAACTTTTAATGACGTTACTGGAAACATTTCATGTACTCCAAATTTAGAAACATACATTATGATTCCCTCCCTATTTTCTTCCATCATTTTTTCCAAGGACCACTACAATTATAAGGGGCTTGGAATGCTTCAACTTTAAAATACAAATGTTCTAATTCAAATATGCTGACCTTTGACCAGGACAAGTCCAGGTAGGATCTAAACAGAATAGTGTCAGGATCCAGATCTGCACTGTTCTCTACCACTTAGAGACAAATAGACTGTCAAGACTACACAATGGCATCACAGCTGCTTTGTGAAAGAACAAGAAGTTACTTTGCTTTGTTTTGTCTAAGTAACAAATCAATAATCTTCTCAATACACATTTATAACTGTTGGCCAGCCATTAACAGCTGACAGTACAACCTCCTCAGATTCATTCAGCTTTTTCTATGGTGTATTGTACTGACAGATAACCACCTTGTGTTGAAACTGTCAACAGAGCACACCCAAATTTAAATAAAGTACAGGATGTTTGTCTAATGGACACCACGGGGTCATAACAGATACTGAGTGGTCTGTTGAAATGTTTCAGTGTGAATACACACAACACTTCCCAGCTTTAAGTTTTCTTCTAAAACTTCTTAAAAAACAAACAAAACAACAACAAAAGTTAGTTTTTTAGGAATACACATTGAGATCTCTACACTCAGCTGTGAAACATGTGTTACATCAACTGAACAGGCAATCATTTGGATTTGCAAATCCAGTAAACACCAGTCTTTGCTGCTTAAACTAAACAAACAGTGTTAGTCTTTTCCAAAGTAGGACCTTGTCCTAAGTCTGTTGTGGATTATTTGTCTTTGCATGTATTAATATTCTAAGATGCTGCTGCAATGCTGACAAACAGTAGAGATAGAATGACTGAGAACAATAACAGACCTAACAAGTACTTAATATTAATATTTCATTAACCACACAGGTCATATGCTAAGTCAGTATATGAGTCACAACTTCATCCCAGCAGTGACGGCTAACTGTTTTTATCTGACACTCAACATATTAGTCTAGATCATGAATTGACAAAAAAAAAAAAAAAAACAACCAAAAAAACAAACAACCAAATGGTTGCCTTAAGATGCGGGAGGCTGCATCTAGGCCCTAAATTAATGTGAGGCAATATGCGTTGCGGGTGAAACACTGACTCACTGTGACTCATATGGTTCATTTATTAAGCGCTCCTTCTCTGAAACGGGGCCTTGCACTTTCGCTTGATGGTGTCAACAGTGAGATATACTGGTACATGGTGTCCTCACCAGGACCAAAACATCTGTGCCTCTTCTCAGCAGACCGAGCAGTGAGACGTGAAAAAGGGAGGCGTGATGACCGTAATTCAGGAAATTACAAACGTCAACTTTAGAGGTTGAGAACCAACATTATTATTCATGAATACACTGTGTTCTGAGGGAATGAAGTTAAACACATTTCTTACTATAGTGGAAATTTACAAAAAATTCAAATAAGTGCAAATAGCCTGCTAGCTATTGAATAATCGCAAGCAAATGAGATTCTTTGAGATAAGTATTGCAAAATATGGCAAACATTAGCAGTTTTACATCAACTGTCAAAGTATTTTTAAATCTATTTGTATTGCTGGAACAGCAAGATGCAAAACATCATGTATTGAATGAATTAGTCACAGATGTTCCGCACTTATTAATTTGAAACTAATCCGAATGATGGAATCGATGGAAGTTGTGCTCAAAAGTTGTGCTAATTACAGTTGTTGGGAAGGCAGACATCTGACCTGAAGTCCCTGTAAACACATGCTCACATTGAGATGGTAATTTTTAGCTTAATATGCGCTGGTGAAATGAAAGTTTCCCACAGCGTGTTTAAATAACGACATATGTATGTACGGTGTGTCAGAGCAATGATAAGTGGATACACTGTCGAATTATTGGATATACAGTGCACATCTCTCACCCATGTGTTAAAAAAATTAGTCTGATTAATTTCACAAATGAATGAGTCTATGTTAGGTGTTAATTTTGACAGTCTTGCTTTGATGTGATGAGGAAAACGCCTTTTGGTCGTCTCTGGAGGTCAGTACTGGGTGGAGAGGATGTGTGGAAGGAGACCCTGCCTGTGCTTGTGGAAGTTAACTATTCAGGAAGTGTGTTACAGCCCAAGTTATTCCAATCATAAAACAAACGCCACACCATGCGTCCCCCTGTGTGCTCTCTGCCCTATATATTCTGCCAGGCCCTGCTATTTGTGCACAGTGATCTAACACAGTAATGGGCCGGGGGTGCAGTTAGTTGAAGATAGAAGATATATTGATCAGTGATAAAGAGGAGATGAAAGCAGTCTGGCTGAGGTGTTTGGATACAGGGTCATGGGCTGTGGGTAAAAAAAAGAAAAGAACAGGAGCTCAATGCTATTTCTCTAAAGATCTAAACATCCCAAAGAGATTTGAGTTTTTGTATTCTGAGGATGTGAAAAGAACAAGAAGTGAGTATGTTAGGAGAGTAAAAGAAAAAAAAAGTGGGTGGTGTTTTTGAAGTGATGGAGTTAAGCGTTCAGGTCACTACACTGCCCAAGAAGGACATACACGAGATCACCCAAAGTCAAATAGTTTGAAACAGAGTTTGTCCTAAACAGGCAATAATAATTATTCACTTTGTGTTTATAGGTTGTAATACGCTTTTCTCCATTTGTGTCATCATGGCGTCAGTGGGACTTGATCCGTTTCTGCTGTTTTTGTCTGGTCACTTACTGCCAAGAAAATCAAACAAAGCATTGTGTACATAGGATTGTGTGAGTTACACTTGGCTTTGTGTTTTCCCGTGTATATTGTACATGCAAGTTTTTTTTTTGGGGGGGGGTGTCACGCTGCGAATACACGACACACGTACATTCAAAAGAAGAAGGAGAGATTGTGTGTCTTGGTGTGTGTTGTGTAATAGCAGTGGTCCACAGCCAACATTCCACCTCACTTCTGTAATATTGCACAGCCTTATGGGTACAGAATGTGCTTCTTTTCACAGCTCACAGTGTTTACATTTGCCTTTCCCCCCTCACTCATTTCCTTTCCCCTTTTCCCTTTCTCTCCTCAGATTTGATATCTACAGGAAAGTGCCAAAAGATCTCACCCAGCCCACATACACAGGCGCTTTCAGTGAGTACTTCTTCACACCCGAGTGGCAAAATACAAGCTTCTGGGTTTTTTTTTTGTGTGTGTGTTGAATAAACAAATTTAAGTCATTTTAGTGTCTGTGGTTAAATATGCTACAATGTGTCAAAGCCTTTCTTCAAATTCCATTGAATGAAAACTGTTACTCCCTTAAAAAGTTTTATGCTTTTTGATAAAAAAGTACAATCCTTATCTTTTTTTTTTTTTACCCCGATGTTTAAACATGTATTCCAACAGCTGCACCTTAAATATACTTATTAGTACTTGACCCAGAATATTGTATTTAGGTTTGTTCTCATCTCTTAAAACTGATTAATCACTCACACCGGCTGTTCATGTTCTGTAATAACATGTTCCATTGTTCCAGGTCGGCCTAAAATGGCGCGTTCTTCCTGTTCGTGTGTCTAATGACCTGTCATTCATGCGTCCTATTTTTGCAGCTGATGTATTTGTAGTGACTACCACAACCTGTCCTAGAAAACATGGCCAAATATCTGTAAACAAAGGTGTGGCATGACAGCACTTATTTTTAATTGCCTTCTCAAGTAATTATCCAGCAATCATACATAATTAGATCATTCTTTCAACATAAACAGAACTTGACTCCAAATCTTATTTTAAACACATAACAAGGACAACAGTATTAATACTGAGGCATTTTTGTCCATGTGACATTTAAAATAATATGTATAGCAGGTTTGTTTATGTTCATTAACGACGTTTAATCTGAGTCTTCAGCTAACTTTAGTTCGGTTAACTAGTTAATTAACTTACTGACATTTTTTGTTTTTCATGAAACACATTTTCAGGGAGTCTACAGGTCAGGGAGGAGGAGCTTCATGCTCAGTGCTGACCCACTAAAGTAATCATAGTCATCAAATGAAACTGCATACTTCCCACTTAATTTTAAAATCACACCTAATTAGATGTTAACTGATGAGTGGGACTTGAATCACTCCCTGCTCAGTGAGCTGGTTTCACAAACAGGGAGGAGATGACAGCTGTATTTCAAGTATCTCCCTGTCCCAAATACTGAGGGGCATCTTGACAGATCAGTACTTGTTTTAGCACAGCCAGTATGGTAAGAATGTTAATAGACACACACACTGTTATTGCCAAACACACTTTAAAAAAGTCTTAAGTTGCAATCTGTGTGCTTTCCTGCCAGGTCATGTGTTTCCTGTTTGTCATTAGCATGTCAGAGATGAAACTGGGATTGTATTCATTACTCACATCTTGTACGAGTAAAAAAAAAAAAAAAAAAAAGGGGGAGAAGAAAACAATTAATGGCACATTCTTGGATCCGTCACTCACTAGTTGTGAGGTTATTCATCGATCAGCTGATGAAGGGCGTGGAGACTGGTCAGCTGATGACAGCATGGGTGGAATCTGTGAGATCAATAGATGGTGAACAGTTCCAAACACATTTGTGGATGACAGGGAGGAGTGGGAGTCTATTAAAGGTACACACAAAACGGTTCCCACAGGCCGCGAGGAAGTTCTTCCTGCATACAATCTACTCCCTTCCTGTCTCCTTCCTCTGTCTAGTGTTGAGGGCACGCGGTTGATTTGTATGTTGAAGAACTCAGCTGGAGCTACGGCTGTTTTGCTAACGTTTTGATTTGTGAGGTTCAGAGGCAACTAGAAACAGGCGGACAAAAGGTCAAATATTTGACCCTGTCTGCTTTTGTTATTTTGGTTTAGGGTCACATTCCTTTGCATGTGATTTTTATGGTACTTACTTTAAACAACACCGCTGTTTTCTCTGTTATGGTTCTTTCTTATCACAACACACTGTGAAGCCAAGACTATTACCTGTTGGATGTGTTTTAAATCATGATTGAACACAGTTGAACATAACAGTAAACAATAATAAAAAAAAAAACTTTTGGTTGTATTTTTTTTGGTCTTCAGCTGATCTGTGGATAAAGTTATAATAATGTAGAACAAAAAGCAGACCAAGAAATAAAACCGTTTCTTAGTTTCTTTTTTGTCATCTAACCACTGTGTGTAATGGGTTTACTTTGGGGTTAAATGAAAAAAGAAAAAAAAGGCAAACAACCATGATGTACTAATGAATCACTTGCTCAGGGCTGGAGCAGTTGCAGTCGATTACTCTCATATTTCGTAATCCCCTCACACAGTTGCACTCTTGTGGCTCAACAGGCCTTGGATGAGCCTGAATGGTGACCTGTGTGTCATAGTGACACTCCCAGTTGTTTGGTGGTTAAACATTAGTTTATGTAAAGCCTCTGCCAGCCGCAGGTTTGGCAGTGACGCCATGACGACCACAAGGTCATGTGACGGTGTGCGCCTGGGAGACAGTTGTCATGTAAACACGTCTCTCGTGCTGAGTGCAGTCTTTCTGACCTCAACTCCTGCCGTACCGTGGCAGATAGGCCACAGCTTCGCCGACACCGCTCAGACTTTTTCCATATTTATCTCAAACACATGATGAGTATCTTTTGGCGGATCATTTTGACACATGAAAGGAAACAGACAACCTGGCTGCTTCCCTTTTTTTCTTTTCAACCAGACTTTATCTTGGCTCAGACTGAAGAAACACCTTATAGTTAACGTTGACTTTCCTAATCTGGTCTTGATCTAACTTTCTTTTTTCTTTTTTTTCTTCTTTCGAAACTGTTTGTGGTCTGGTTGATAATGTATCTCATGACTTTTCAGGTGTAGACAAGCCCCTTATGGTATGCAAGGGTATTGCAGGCATTTCCAATTATTTAATTTTGACAGCTTTAACACACACCTTATGGGAGATTTCTAGAACTAAATCAATTAAATTAAATACAGCCCATGTGTTATTTATTAAATTTGAAAAAAAAAAGCCCAAGGTGGACACGAGAACAACGGTTGGAACCCCATAGACTAATGAATCAGTAAATCTCTTTGTAGGTTGGGTATAGCATGATCTCACCTCTTTTGATGCAGATATGTGGTAATGGCCGCCTGCAGTGTTTATATTAAATGTGTAATTAGTGCGGAAGAATCCCTTAAAACCTGCCTAATGGCAGATTTAACACTGCCAGTAAAAGAGCTAATAAGGAAACTATGTTACGGCCGATGTGATCTCACTAATGTCAAGGCTCTTAGGTCAGATCGCCCTACGTTGGTTGCGGCACCTCCTAAAGTTTGAGAGCAACGTGAAGTCATCAGTGACTTGACTTTAAATGTGATCATCTGTCTAACTTCCTTCCTCTTTGCCCACAGTTTCCATCCTCTGCTGTGTCTTCATACTCTTCTTGTTCCTGTCTGAACTGACGGGATTCATAGCCACTGAAATGTACGTATCACGCCGTCACACCCTACTGAAAACAAAAAAAAACTCCTGTGTTTCTCACAACTTCCTGTAGCCAAAACACAACATTGCTGCTGTCGTAACACACAATCCAATCTGCCGTCAGAAATATACTTCATCAACGTTATTGCCCACATTATGAGATATTCTGCCGTGGCCCCAGTTATTACAGGAAATTGGCACTGTGTTTGTGTGGTCGTGATGGCGTCTTGATGGTGTGTACACGTTGAAGAAGGAGAGACAGGAAGGAAGTGACACAGAGATAAACAACTGTCTGTCCTCGCAATTTTCACAAAGGATGAACCTGTGCCCATTAACACGTCGTCTGAGGAGGGAATGACTCTCTTCCCTTTTAACCGACGACGTTGTTTCATCTGTTTTTTACGTCATCTAACCTTTTTCTTCTCTCTGCGGCTCATTGCAGTGTAAATGAACTCTATGTGGATGATCCTGATAAGGACAGTGGTGGGAAGATAGATGTGAGTTTAAACATCAGTTTGCCAAACTTACACTGTGATTGTGAGTATATACAAACATATACACACATACACACGACCTCACCTTTTCTTTGCATCACACTCCCTTTTTGAGTATGTACAGGTGTTTGACGTAAAACTGAACTTCAACTTCAAGGTTTTTAAGGTTTGAAAAATTAACTGGGAGGTGTTTGACGTAAAACTGAACTTCAACTTCAAGGTTTTTAAGATTTGAAAAATTAACTGGGAAATAACAAAAGAAATCCACACACAAATCCTGTTCCACCCCAAAAAATAATAGCTTAAACGTGTGAGCTTATGTTACAAAAGTTTGTCCAGCAAAAGTAAGTCTAGAAAAGACAGATAAGATGTCATTAAAAAATGACATCGTATCTAAGACAAACCAAAAATTGCTAAAGGTTAGCTAAACTTAGATGAATATTTCCAAAAGATTCCTGACCAAGAATTAGCTACACAAAGAGTTTTAAACACGCTGTAAGAAGACTTGCTAAAGCTAAAAACTAGCCTCGAAGCATGTGTCAAATCATAACAAAAAGTTAGCTAGCCAATGGCTAAAAAAATCTAATTCTATTGTAAACATAGCAGCTAAGATATGCCAAAAGACTAGTGGAGGTTAGTGCAAAGTTAGCAAAAAACTTTCCAATACAGAATAGCACGTTATCTATCTCTCAGCCAGCACTGGCTATGAAGTCTGGCCACTGTTTATGTTTCCTTTTCTTTATCAGACACCATCAGATTTCTCCCTCATTTAGCACAGCATTCTAGCAAAAGATAAAAACAAAAAAAAAAACAGAGACAGTGGTAAATAATGGTTTGTTTACCCTGCTTTGTTGTAGCCTTCTCCCTAACGACCCTAACCAGCCAAAGCCGTGTTTGATCTTATACTGACCCACAGCTGTGTTCTGGGTTTGCTGTTCATTCTGTTGGCTCATCTGCCATACCTCTTTGTTGGAAGGGGGGCGCAGGCGCAGGCGTAGACCGTCACTGGGTTATTTTCTCCTCATGACTCTGCTCAGAAACTATGCCCAATGACAAATCTCACACACATCGGTGAGAAAACGCACTGGCCTATTCATTTTCAAAGACATCCAAAAATGGTGAAGCCAGTAAAAGCTGGTGTGGAAATGAGGTCCAGATTTGTGTGTGTGATACAGAGACCGAAGCCCACGGACACACAGCTGCGGAGCACGTGTGTTGTTCATGCTGAACTCACACCAAGGTTATCACCTGCCATTTACATCTGTAGCTCTCTGTGCCTGTTCATATGGTCTTTTATCATTTAACTCTTTGATTCCTGCAGAAATATGGGTCAATCTAAAGAATACTAAACATATAAACCAAACATACTGGTTTGAAGTTGTTATTGTAACCCAAATACCAAACATCCTAAAGTATGTCAACCTGCTGGGTGGCTCTCTGTTTGTCACTAAACAACATTTGAGGTTAAAAGGCTTAACTCATTGTCTACCGCTGATATTTCTTTTTTCTTAATATCGCACATGTTGCTGCTCCACCCTCCCAACAAAAAACGTCATGGTAGACATCTGGGGGATGGGTTAGCGTGTGTGTGTGTGTGTGTGTCTGGGTAAATATAAATATCTCGTATTAACTCATAAGAGAGGTCTGGGGGAGAAGGGTGCAGGTGGGTCAACCCACCCCCCCTGCTTAAAAAAACCCCACCTTTAGATGGTTTTCTCATCAGACCCAGCCGAGTCCCCGGTCTAAAGTCATTCAAAACTCTGCTGAAACCAGAGTGTGAACTCAGAGTTTTGTCAAAATTTGAAAAAACTTTGAGAGTTGTCTAGTACTTCCTCAGCTCAAGCGTTAGAATGTGTTCTTTAAATCATCAGTATTTTCCAGACCAAGAAAAGAGAAAAAGCCCAGTCATCATGAAAACCCTTTTTCACTATTTATCACTTCAGTTTGGCTCCACGGTTTCAATGCTGAACACCGTCTCCCACCACTGACCTTTCGGGTTCCCCGGTCTTGATTTGTGACTTCATGGAAGGTTGAGACGAATGTAATAATAATAATAATAATAATATGTCACTGCCCACTCAGACAGACGCAGATACGTGTTCTCTCCTGCACTTTGAAATGTCTTAAAAAGGAGAAATGGAAGCTCTCCCACTGACAAACGCAGATTTGTGTACTATATTTTGAGGTTAGGGTGGAAAGGGGAGGGGGTGGCAAGTGAAGTTTGAATCTTGAATATCAAAGGTCAGACAGAGGCAGTGTGGAGCAATGCACTACTGGCCAACACTTGACACTGCAGCATCTGAAAATAGGCCACAGTCCATGTGCCAGTGCACAGAAGCCTGCAGGGACTGCTGGTGGAGCTGGGTATTCATGGGTGAGAGAAGATGGAAAAACACAGATGGACTGAAACGGGTTGTTTAGTCTCTGTGTGTGTTTACTTTGTGATCCATGCTGAGGGTTGAAAATACAGACTAGAAATAGAGGTTTTAGCTGTTGATAACCAGCAATGGTTGATAGTTAGTTATTGTTTTCAGTCAAAGATGAAGAAAATAAAATAACAAGTCACTGTTGTATCCCCCACTGTGGCACAAATAAAAGGAAATAATACATTTTGAAATTAATTTGCCCGCCTGTGTCCCATCCTATGATAGCTTTTTACCCCTCAGAGGAACGCGACCCACATTTTGAGAACTAGTATTCTAATATAACACAATGAATGAAACACATACTGGTGAAAACCAAAAGACACAGTGATGGAGCTGATGTTAATAAAATAATATTTCAACTATATTTCTATTTCACAGATACTATTCAAAATGTTATTTTGTTATAATCAGTGATGTTTTGACCTAAATGTCTGTGAACTGCTTTTCTTTGTTTTAGTTACATCTTTTCATTTACGTGTTTTTAAATTATGTCCTGTTTTTTCTTTCCTCAGTGGTGGGTTTGGACATCCAGGATGAGATGGGCCGCCATGAGGTTGGTCACATTGACAACTCCATGAAGGTCCCTTTAAACCACGGCGCTGGCTGTCGCTTTGAGGGAGAGTTTACCATCAACAAAGTAAGTCTTCGTCACACAGGGAAGTCTGGGGCTTCATACACTCAGAAAAAAAACTTTGTGTGTGTAGATTTATGAACTTATCAGATCAAATGTCAAACTTGAACTCTTTTATTGTGTGTTTGCCTTAGACGACCTGCTTCTTTTCTGAGTCCAGTGAGCTGCCCCCGCCCCTTCTGTTTCATTTAAGTTGTGTTAAATCTAGATCTCGAGGTCTCAGTTACTGGCTGTGTGAGTCCCTTTGATCCCACTGTCACGCTTTGCGTCATACTTTCCGCTGCATTTAAATAAATAACCTCATGGTTGTACATTTAACACCTTAACTCCTGGGATAATTGCAAATGTGTGACAAGCATTCAACTGGGTTGATTTGTGTTCCGGAGGCACAGGACATTTAGTTTCCGATGCAGCTTATGCTTTCAGACGGGGTCGTTAGGTAAATGTGTTACATGTGTATGTGCATGTGCTCGTGCTGTTTCTCAAGTCCTCAACCCTCTTGTCATCTGTCCGTCCTCAGGTACCAGGAAACTTCCATGTTTCCACACACAGTGCCACCGCGCAGCCACACAACCCTGACATGACCCACACCATCCACAAGCTGGCGTTTGGGGAAAAGCTTCAGGTGAGCCAAAAAAAATCACCTGTGGTGATCAACTGGTACTTTAGGTAGTACTGAAAATACAACATGTTCTCCAGGCTTTTAATTTGATAGACATCTTCATTAAGAGAGAACCTGTTTTCTTTTTTCCTTTTCAAAATAAAACACCTCCCACTGTGACACAAATATTAATGTTTTTTTCCTCTGTGGGCCGGTACTGATGGCCCAGAACCCTGTTAAGTGGTGATCAACTGGTACTTTAGGTAGTTCTGAAAATACAGCAGCGTCCATGTCTTAACAAAGACACGCACACACACACCACAGCACGTAGACTCTTTTATAACAAGGAGTGGACGCCTGTCTCTCTGTTTTCACACAGGTACAAAAAGTACAAGCTGCCTTCAACGCACTGGGAGGGGCCGACAAGCTCTCATCCAATCGTACGTACACACACACTCCTCACGTTCTCCACACAGTTTTAATCACCATCATGTCAATGTTTGGACCTTAAACACAATTTCCAAAAACTCTTTCTGCAGCTCTGGCCTCACACGACTACATACTGAAGATTGTGCCCACAGTGTATGAAGATCTCTCAGGCAGACAGAGATTCTCCTACCAGTACACAGTCGCCAACAAGGTGCTGTATGGTTGTGTCCGTCATCTACTACAGGTTCCTTATTTCTCAGAGATGTGAGGCTGAGTCATCATAGAGACAACCACGAATACGTAGTGGTCAATTTAGAGTGAACAATTTACCCAAACTAAATTCACTTCTGTTGAAGTTAGTGTTAGTCACAGTTCTGTTAAACATGACATCATGACTGTCTGTCATTGTTTTAAAAAAAAAAAAGTTCTTGTCGCAGTTGGTTTGTTTTGTTTGCCAGAGATTGTACAATGATGAGGAAACCGCTGGGTACAGGCGCCAGCGTCATTACCAAAATGAAGCCGACTTCAGCACAGATAGCCATGAGTGACGCACCTAAACCTTATCAGGTGTTTGGCTATAATAAACCGAGTGCTGTAACAGGGTCAGTCTGTTGCGTGTCTGTCCTAATTCTACCGACCACCCACATGTGAAAACATGACCTAAATATTAGCGAACCATAGACAGTTCCTAGAACTGTGCCGACTGACGGCTGCGTTTGGAGTTTGATGTTAAAACAGTGCAGTTTGGGCGTGAAGCCGAGAGGATGAGGGTCTGAGTCAGATCCAACGTTAGAGCGTAAATACAGGTCCAGCAGGGGCAGAAGTCAGGACTTGAACCTGAGAAACTGCACTCAGAAGTGGACAAGATGTTGATTTTAATTAATTAAATACAAATAAAAAGAAGTGATATGTACATATATGTATAAACAGTACACGTAAGTATATGTATAAGTCTGTTTCTTTTAGTTTAGTTTTAGTTCTTTCAGTGTACATAAATCTACATGTATGTATTTATATATGTATTTACACATACATAAGTATATATACAGTATTTTCTCTCCTAAATATATATTTTAATGCACCAATATGGTTAAATGTACTTTCCATTGAGTACTGAACCTGATCCTGATATTTGTCATTCTAAAAGAATTTGATGACGTTAAATCGTCAGACACTCGTGGCTTTTACGTTTTTTTCTTAAGCAGTAAAACAAACAAACAAACAAAAAAAAACACATTTGTTTTATTAACTTCCACAGGAGTATGTGGCTTACAGCCATACGGGCCGAATCATCCCAGCCATCTGGTTCAGATACGATACGAGTCCAATCACAGTCAAATACACAGAGAGGAGACAGCCCTTCTACCGCTTCATAACAACAGTGAGTGATTTCACCTTTGGAATTTTCCAGAAATAAATGATGAATTTTGGTTGTCCTTTTTTTTAATTTTTTTTTTAACATTTTTCTTCACTGACTCTGTGTGTTGTGGAATTCACCACATCATTAGGAACTCTGACTGGTGATACAGTCAGGAGTGAACAAGGCTCCTTAGCTGATGAGTTAAACCATTAGTTTTCTTTGTGTGACGTGTTATCGTGACCTAAGGCGGAGGGGGATGAAGACACTGTGTGTGTGTGTGTGTGTGTGTATGATATGATTGTTAGTCATTGTTAAACACTGTGAGTCACTGTTAAAGCAGCAGCGTGTGTTGTGAGTGCTGCTGGATGACACTGCGTTCTTCAGTGTCAGTGTAGTTTATTGTTATGAGCCCAGTTGACATCAGCTGATTTGGAGAAGTTTATAACCCGTGGAAAAAGACAAAAAAAGAAGCTTTTACAAACATGTCCAAAGTTCAGCCCTGGGGCCCAGTCTTGGTTCATGGACATGTTTTATGTGGCTGCTTCAATTTAATGGAACACTGGCCGTGTAAAAAAAACAAAAAAACAACATTAACTGCTGTTGTTTTATTGGTCTTTGTTTTATAGGCATTTTTGTATGATTGGCAAACTTTAACATCATTTCAGATGTAATCTTTGTTTTTTTTTAGTTAATGTTTTCCTTTTTTGGTTACTTGTAGTAGCTGTTTCTTTTGTTGGGCATTTTTAATGTTTTATATGTGATTTTTCTTTTTTTCAACTTTGAGAAAAAGCCTACTTGGTTTGCTAAGGAGTCTTTTTATGCGTATTTTCCAGGTTTGTTAAATTTAATATGACCATTTTTGGCTTCCTTTTATTTAAAAGGCCATGAAATGCCAGATTACTAGCCCACCCTCCTCAAGTTGTATCCACACCTGTAGCTATATTTAACATATTTTAGCCTTTTTATTTAACATTTAACATTATATTTAACATATTTTAGCCTTTTTATTAAACATTTAGACAGATTTTTACCAAGTAGCGGGAGCTAACCATAACATCAGAAAAAAACAAACAAAACAAATGTGTTTAATAGACAGCTGTTAAAGCATGTGTCTCAAATACCAGTAGCTGAGATGCTAATGTGGCGTTCGGGGACTGATTTGTGCTTCTTGATTTCCCCAGATCTGTGCCATCGTCGGAGGGACGTTCACAGTGGCGGGCATCATCGACTCTTGCATATTCACTGCCTCGGAGGCCTGGAAGAAGATCCAGATCGGGAAGATGTCATGAGGATCACTGATCCCCCGCTCCTCCCCTCCCCCCAGCACATCTTTATTTATAAGTACAAAGTTGCTAGCCCGTTAGCTAAATCTAGTTCTGCCCCAAACAACTTCCTTGTGGAGATTTTATGACTCTGACCAATGAAGTCACTCTGGCACCCGATGTAACCACCAGGCCTTACGCCACCGCCGCGTCTCAGTTACTGAAGTTCTTCTCAGGCTCCACGCCGTGACGCGTGGACACGGACTATCACATGTCCACTTCCTGCTTTAACAGAACCACCGAGGAGGAGAGGAGAGCCATTCAGCTGCAGTGGAGATAAAGTGCAACGTATTGTGTGTCAGGGTTCCACTGGTGTGGGTGAAGGCTGGTAATTTTAGAATGAAGGGGAGAAAAAAAAAACCCAAGAAAAACAAAAAACAAGAAGCTGGTGTCTGTGCTGACATTTAATGATTTAAATGTGACACTGTGTCTCTGTGTTTTCAATATGAGGGAACATTTAATGTCATGGTTTCAATTGTCTTTAATACCAAAATGCATTATTTACCATTTCCTACTTTTAGACCGGTGGAGTGGTGGAAGAGAAAATCACTTTAATTTTGCTGTGTTTACTTTTCTAAGAAATCTTTATTTGAAGGTAGTGATTTTTTTTCTGTATTGTATTTTGGGTTTGGTCTAAAAAAAAAAGGTTTTCATTTGTTTCCTGCCTTTTTATTATGCAGTATTTAGACTGTGCCTTTGGTTTACTCCGTCTTGAAGGATCCGTCTTGATTCAGTCTGTTTAATTTGATATCAGTGGCTGACACTAAAACCAGTCTTTTTTGGTTCTTAATTGATAAATCCATAGTATTTGTAGCAATGGTTTCTGGGATAGTTTGTTTTCTTTTATTACAGGAAGCAATGGCCGAAATGCAAAACTGTCTGTCTGAAATTTTTTGTCTTTTTTATTTCTGGCTAATCTTGAAAATACTTTAGATCAACAATAAATAGATGGATGAGGGATAAAAAAAATGTGTTAAGCCTAACAGCACTGTGTGGTAGTAGCATTACTTCTGTAAAATACTGCAATGAACTGAAATATGTTACAAATACCACTTATATCCTGTAGGTATTAGGTTATTTTGGCCGCAGAAAATACTGGAATTATGATTGAAAAAAATATATTTCTTTTTTCAATGCCAAAGTACATGTTATTATGAATGTAGTTTTTATTTTCTGGTACTTGTATGTACTATCAAGGATTATTTTATGTTGGGCGTAAGTGTTGTTTTTGTTGTTGTTGTTGTGTTGTTGGGAGATAGTACTACTGTGTGCAACTCTATGGTGGAGGAGTGTAAGAACTAGGGAAGGTCAGTACTGGTGTTTCCTCCGTAAAGGCTCGACCGTCGTCTGTAGTGATGTGTTCATCAAATAAAGGCTCCGTAGGAGAAACCGACATTTGTACATTTTGTTTATTCAGATTGTTGAAAATCACAGATTGAAGTGTTTGGTGGTGATTCAGTGACAGGTCTGTGCACCAACTCCATCCACCAACACTTCCCAACAATCATTCATAGAGAACGAGACCTGACCTCTGGTTGTGTAACCAACTCGGCTGCAATTGTGTCTGAGTAAACTGGACTTTGTTCTTAGAGACAACCCCCTCCTCCCCCACCCCCAACCTCACTCACACCAGCCTGCAGTAGGTCAAGGTGTGAGTGAGTGTTGAGCAGCCTGACGTCCAGCTCTGATAAGCAGTGGTTAGGGTGAGTCAGTCGCTCTACGTCCCTCTGTTTACTGTCGTCCCTCTTTCCTCCCTCATGGTGTCACCTGTCCACAAGTGTCCACTCTGTGACACAGACCCTCACGAATATCTGTCTGTTTCAGTAAAAGCTTCACGGTTGTGACGCTGTAGCTCAGTAATGACCCCTCATTTGTCACAGCAGGTTTGAGGAGAAAAAAAAATTAAAAAAATCCCATTAGTCTCAGAAAGAACAGCGAGTGCTAATTATTGTGCGATTTTCCATACGAGTCACGATTGTACAAAAATAGAGAAGTAGAATACTCTGTGTATAAAAGATCAAATATAAATGTGTGTGGGGGGGGGGAACTAAGTCTAGCATGTGTTTTATCATAATGCTGCCACCCAGTGGCTAGTTGGAGAAACACGAGATACACGAACACAGAGCTTGCTGTGTTTGTCCAGGCAGCAGCCTGAGAGAACAAATAAAAAAAACTGAGATGAGTCGAGGTCAGTTCTGGTCACGAGGATCAGTGACCTGATCATAAATGGAGGACTAGTGACATATGAGCACTTTACTACAGTCACGCCGCATCTCTGCCACGGTTAGACGTTGGAGGAGGCGAGGCAGGGAGGAGAGGCGTCCGTGGAGGAGAAGAAGTCGCAGAAACCCTCCTCTGACAGATGCCCGTACTCGTTGTTGTAGAAGGTCTGCCCCGACAGCTGACTGAAGAAGTTGGGATGACGCCACGGCTCGTTACTGCTGATGCCGCTCCAGCCCAGAGAAGCACGGGAGGCGGTGAGGGGCTCAGTGCTGCTGCTGCTGCCCATCCGACTGGGGGGAATTAATGTATTAATACTTTATGGAGGAGTGGCATCTATACCAGTGTTTCCCAAACTTTTTTTTCTGGGGACCTATATTTTAAAATCCTGAGAAACACGATGCAAGATGACCCAAAAAATATATCTTTTGACCCACCTGAGGGTCGCGACCCAGTCTTTGGGAAACAATGGTCTATACAGACTTCCATCTACAACCAGGACTTCTATGGAAACTGTATTGCTGATGTGCCCCCCCCAAACCCTGCTCCAGAACCATACACAAACAAACTTCCTACAGATATAGTTGTCACCAGGGCTCAAACCAGTGACCTTTGTGCTGTAAGGCAAAAAGCACAGACCACTCTTCCACTGTGAGCCCTCCACCGAATTTAACATTTTGTTAATAAAAATCACCTTTTTGAACTGACGCCATGCTTATGTTCAATTCTCTCAAACTCCTCGGAGGACAGAACCATCCCACTGTCCGTCTGGTTGTCCTGGGGGGACACAGTTCCACATCGTGGGGTTAGAAAGACTTTGATAACATTATCCGAGGGGAGAATTCTCAAAGACCAAAATGTCAGCAGCCAGTGTTGGATTTCCAGAATATTCTGCTTACTTGAGGAGCTTTTTGAGGGAGCATCTCCTGGGGCGACTCCTCAAATGTCTTCACCCTGGGCTGGCAGATTTTAGAGGGTCCCACAAACACACAGCCCGCAAAGGGCACGCAGTTATAATACCTGCTCCAGAAGAAAAAAGAAACTCTTATCAGATCAACACAAAATAGAGACTTCAGATGAATTCAGTCTAGTTTTAATAACCCTCTCTAAAATAAAAATAAAAAGGCTAATGCTAATGCTACTGCGGATAAAAATAAAACGGCTAATGCTACTGCGGCTGCGGCAAGTTGTTGTACTCAGTGGGGACACCTGGTGGGGAGTGTGTTGCAGGTCATTCTGAGCTCCTCCTCAGAGGGAGGTCGAGATGACGCCTGTGAGAATCCGTCGTCGGAGCTTTGTGAGTGGTTCAGAGGGATGTAGTCCTTCCCATCCTGAAGGAATCACGGCGTTAATATAGATGGAATATATTTTTAAATATTTTTATTTGTCAGTATTTGACTGTTTAAACTTGCAGGTGGACTGTCGTCCTGCAGCAGGTCTCCGAGGATCTGCACCAGAGCAGGAAACGTCGGTCTTTCCTTTGGTTCTCCCTGCCAGCAGGCGAGCATGATTCCATATCTGCCAGCAGAGGGCAGCAACATCACAAAAAAGGTCAAGAGTAAAACATCGACGCCTTTCAGTATGAATGTTTTCTGTCGCTGGCAATTAAACAAAAGTAAATCAAAATGATCGCAGACAAATCGGAAAAAAAATACTTTGGGAAATAAAAAAAAACAAACAAACAAAACAACAATCCACATTTTCTTCTTTTCTACAGGCTGTGTTTCCAGTGGAGAATTCCTTACATATATGGAATTCTGGAGGGTTATTTGACACCTGGCCACACGTTCGTATTGCGAATAAAACCTCAGACTAAAGGTTTTTGGAGACACTTGTTTTAGTTACTACAAATGAGAAACCTTTTCAACGGATCTTTTTAACCTTTAGATCTGTTTGACTGAACTCTCATATGTGAATATAAATGAGTAGAGAATGAATGAATCAAGGCTTATGTTTACATTTCAGGGGAGGCAGTTTCTGGCGATCGCATCCTGACTCCGTCTTTCAATCGTTTGCAGAAATCCTCATCGATTTGAACTCCGGGGTAAGGAGATGCACCTGCAAGAAGCCAAAAAAGGGGCATCTGATGTTTCAGATATAAATTTTAAAAAAAAACTCCTATGGTTCAGATGTGGGGTTAAATAAACATATACAGACAACTTGAATTTTTTTTTCTCTCCCCACTTTCTTCAAAGAAACAACTCCGAGGTGATTTGTGTCATTACCCAGAGAAAAGATTTCCCAGAGCAGCACTCCAAATGACCACACATCACTCTGGCTGGTGTAGAGTTTGTCAAAAATACTCTCAGGGGCCATCCACTTTAAAGGCAGGCGGGCCTGGGAGAGCAGGGAGAGAGAGAGGGAGAGATGGGTGTGTGTGTGTGTGTGCTTCAACAAATATTTGGTAAATTGTTGAAGCAGTACGACAAACAACGGCAGGTAGACATATATGTCCACATGTCCAACAATGACAATTTTTTTAACATGGTAAAATGTCACGAAAAATAAGCCAAAGCGTAACTCAAAATTTAGCGTCACAGAGATGGTGGAATTTAGAAGAACATGTTGAGAGTTTCTTTCAAAACTCCTCAACAATATTCATTAGTCAATGTTTTCAATGTCATCCCACCATCTGTGCAAATAACATGTGTATGGTCAGTGTACCAGAGCAACGACAAAGAGTCTCATTCTGCCCAAGGTGTCAAAAAGTTACAATTTAAACTCCAATCCCACAAATTAATTAAAACAATATTTAATCTAAGTGTTTGATACATTTTCAACAGTGCAGAGAATTTTTTTATCAATAAAAAACCCCCCAGTGTTTTAAATAAAGTTTTGGGGGATTAGGGGTATGAAGATGGCAGAAGTTTCCAGAAAAAGTTTTGGAACCTCTGCCCTAAGACGTGGCGGAGGTGAAGGTTGCCTTACGTTGCCTTTCCTGACGTAGTCGGGGTCTTTGTATATATCTCGGGCCAGACCAAAGTCACAGATCTTCACAATGTTGTTTTCTGACAGGAGAATGTTCCGGGCTGCCAGGTCTCTGTGGATACACTGTGAATATATACGTACACACAACTGACAGTTGAAACACCGACAGGATTTGAAGCAAATAAAATCAAAGTTTTTAAATATTGTGTTGCCCACAGTGTGGTCTGGAGTGTGTCTGTCTCAGTGTGTGTGTGTGTGTGTGTGTGTGTGTGTCTGCGTGAGGTGG